ATATACAAGGCTGACGCGAATATCATGAGCGAAGTCAATTCATATTATCAAGCATGGGCTAACTCAAGTCCACTGAGCACAGGGAAAATGCATTTTCATGGGATCAATGACATTTTGATCCAGCAATATCAATAATCATGAGAAAGTATGAGAAAAAAAGACTACTGTACCAACTGCACAGCATTTCTTTTAAAGCAATTCACTGACCTCATGAATAAATCACCACATTTGAAGGGTTCACGGTAGGTCAAAATAAAAAATACGATGGAGAACTTGGTGCACCATTATATACGTCCACTTGAAATACGATTAATCCTCAGGAAGATTGCCAACCTTCTGCTCTCCGAAATGGACTACCTTTTCATACTTATTCAATGGTACTACAACCTTCAATAAGAGAGAGCATAATTTTCTGTTGATATATTCGCTACACGATAACTCTGATTCTGTTATCCTCCTTACGAGTTTACCAATTGATGTTTCGATAACGGAGTCGAAAGAACTCGTAGCAGCAGTGGACCCTTCTTAAGTAGAGGTAGGCAAACGCCTGAGAAAAAGTCATATTTGGAAGGGAAGGTTTCCGTCCTTGAAAGTAACTGAAGAAATAAATAATCCTCTCAAGTCTTACGCTCCATACTACCAAACTAATTAAACTAATTATCCCAAAAAAGATAGGCTAACAGAAATATGACTAGCATAGGACACGAATATGGCTTTGGAGGTACCCTATTTCGAAGCAGTGGCAACAGCTTATAGAAATCATACATGCATATGAAAGAAGTGCGCTAAATCACAAGAAGGAAAGATTCGCACTGGTATAATGGCTATACTACAACATTATAAGATTATGGATTTCCATGAGAGGTGACTGATAAGTGACTGAAAGAAAAGATTCATAACATCCACTTTCTACAGAGCAGCTGTGCTCCTGCTGTAGGGTTGCCACCTGTGCAATTTAATATGGGAAGTCCCTTTTTAAAGTTTTTTCTTTTCTTGTCTAGCGTCCCGGGCAAGCGTCCAACGGGGCATTAATACTACAGGGGGGAAATATGAAACGTGCCAATTAGAATGAACGGGAGATTTTAATTATTGTGATTCAAGAGTATGCAACATATTATCGGCAATTCTAACATGTTCAGTGCTCATGGCAATATAAGTTACCAATGAGACCTAGCGGTGGCGGACTAAAGCTAAGACTAAGGCTACCCGTCGGGTCGACCTGTTTCTATCCCAGTTTTGTAATTATTATATTTAATTTATTTTAGGCCTCTGAACATCCCCCCATAAGTCATTCTCAAGGGAGTGCTATTTCCCTATTCCCTGCATTCATCATTGTCGGCTAACAGCTTTATCCCCTATTTGAATTACCAAGAAGTGGCAACCCTACACTACTGAAATAAGGGGAATTGTAGAGGGGCTAAAAAGAAAAGGAAATTTAAGTTTATACATCAGAGAAGTAAAAAGTTCAAGGAAAAAAACATTATTTAGAGATAATCACTGCTATAAAACATACCTACTCATGATTTAGCCTCAGGCCATGCTTTTAGCATTTACAACACAAATGTATGGTGATTACATCTGGCAAAATGACTTGGTGAGTTTTAAAGAATTCCACATTGTTTAGGGAGAACCTCCTTAGGGAGAACACCCTAGGATATTCAGTTAGCTAATTCAGTATAATAAAAAAACATTCCATCAGTCCTAGTTCAAAAATGGAAAATGAATGAAACTAAGCATCAAAACCACCACATTTCTGGAAGCACATTTTTACGCTGTCCAAAAGGAAATAGTTCACTTGAAAAGAAACTATAGCACTAAGAAGTCCACAACTATGTGAAACAGTAATAACAAATAAAATTAGTTTCCTATGGCAACAAGAATGAGTCCTCCTTCATCGTGCAATGGTGCTCAGCAAAATGCTGAGTGCTGCAATATGGCCCTATTCCAATGCACACATCACTCTGGCCATCTTTAAAGCAGCAGTCTCATGTTGCAAACATTCCCTTCAGTTGCCAGTCACCAATCATGAACACACTTTCTTCAAATATGCAAGTGGAAGGTTACCTCAAATGTTCCATTTGGTAAGGGAAGTAAGCAGTATGTGCAATTCGGAAATATCATGAGATAATTTTTCACTACCTCACAAGGAAATCATTGTGTTCTAAGGGTCATGAATAACCAGACAAGTATGATGACTAAATACATCTCAGTGCACAGGGAACAGAGAAAGCTGTGTGGGAGACTGGAGCCAGTAAAAAAAAGCCCAAGTCACATTTCAAGAAACACAATAAGATACACAAGAAAACGAGTGTTTTGCATTAAAAAATTCAATTTAGAACTACATCCTTGGCCAAAACACTATGCTATGGATACCACTGAAAAGGATGCCATGCCCCATGCCCTGAGGTCATTTACCAATTCAAGCTCTAGTTATGGAATCAGCTCTGCTCAGTACAATGCCATGTGTCTCAGAAGGGTCCTGCTATGGAGATACATCTCCATGATATAAATTAGACATCGATGCTTGATAGCATGAGTGAATACCAAGAATGCACACACAAAAGGCATGCAATAATGTTGGCACCTCCTTGATTTTTTAGGGGTAGAACTGACAGGAAAAAGGGGTGGCCATTGCTTGGTCAGACAGAGACAAAGAGAAGCTTCATCAGAAAAACTTTAAAGGTTGAAAAATATTCTCATATATGAGGAGATGAATGTCTTACGAGATAAATATTTCATTCATACCACTTATAATACATATGTGGCCTCACATATTGAGCAGCATGCACTAGATCCATGTACCCAGAATAACATCCATTGCATGCTAGTCCATACTTTCTATGATGATAGTTGAACAACTTTTGGGAATGAAAATATAAATGTGGTCTTTTTTGATCAGAGATGCCCAAACTTTTGGGTCATAGAGGCCACACAATGTATGAACCATAGAAATGCAGGATGCAATATTTAAAATATTTTGTGCAGCATAATATACCAAGGTTGATGATATTGAAGGAGGGAGAGGGAGTGGATGTTGTGCAAAGGAGTGATGGGGGGTGTTGAGAAAAGGGCCAAGTTGAGGCATTGAGCAGAAGCTGCACATGCCTACGTCTCTCCATCTGCACCAGTATCTTTTCTTTTATCCCTGTACCTCTATCTACCTTGAGAACTTCCCCCCCTCAATTTGCCCTGATGGCTGCATAAAAGACCTTATGGAGCCTCTTGTAATACTTCAGGTTAAGATACACCGATCTGGTGCATGCCACTCACTATGAAGTCTTTGAAACCTTTCAGAATAAAATTATGAGGTTCTTTGTGGGATGCAGTTGGATTACTATAAAAAAAATTCTATAATGGAAGAAGTCAGAGAAGGGACCATACAAAATGATGGTGAAAGACAATGTTCATAATGTCAGACACTTTGTGGATGGAAGTTCAACTTCCAAAGCTATGGGGGACTCAAAAAATAATTTCCTCTACTACATATCCTTTACAACCAAAGGACTAGAAGTAAAAATGGTCATGCCTTGAGGCCACTGTAATCACCAAAATCTTCACACTGGGTATGACAAGGTCTCAAAAAGTAACAATTGAAAAGGTCTTAAAAAAAGTAACATTCAAATCACAGAAACTGAGAATGACAGGGCAGAGAACTATGCAGGCATGATGATGATGGTTGCTGACAACAGATGGGACATGTCACCTCAGGCAGCTAGAAGAGTTTTGATCTGCTTTGGTGTACACTCATCATTTAGATGTTTTGTTGTATACCTGTCATGAATGGTGAGGAAAAGAAAATGGGACATCAATCACTTCCCATGATGGCATAAGCCAGCATTGGAATGCCATATGTAAAGGCAAATGAGAGGCATCCATACTTTTTTTTTTCAAAGATGTTACGAGAATTTATCCTAATAGAATCTCATAGGAAATTCTTACGACTCAAAATCTTGTTTCCTTACTTCTGGGGATGAGATCCCAAATGATTTTTGCTCTATTTCTTACTGAAGGATTTTGAATATCTGGGTTGTTCATTCTTTCCAGTTCCAAGGGGGTTTGAATGTTTTCCTGTCTCTATATTTTGGAGCATTTCTATTTAAAAGGGCCTCATTCTGGGAAAGACAGAGTGACATACCCTATGGACACTTCATCTGTCCAGATCCATAAATGTAAAGGAAGATGCAATTTTTAAATTTATTGTGTGACACATCTTTCTAAATCTCTTTATAAAACTGAAAGGAAAGGAATGGTTTTTTGCGAAAATTAAACTTAGCGGTTTTTAGCTTTTGATACACCTTGCACTTTGGAGTAGAAAAAAAAAAACAGGGCAAGATCATCATCTTATATTTTCTACATTCCATTCATGAAGGACTATGCCTATGTGTTCCTTGAGCAACTTCTCAAATCTAATCCTTCACAGTTGCATGTGTTCATATGCTGCAGGTGAACATAAATAATTTTCAAAGGCATCTTGAACTCATAATTTAATTAAATTTCCAGAAATAAAAAGTTTTGTTGCTAAAGTTATACCAGTGGGCTCCACCATTTACACCAGGGAGGCTTAATATTGTGCACCACCCAGTACAACAGTGAAGGAGGAAAACAAATACAGTATCTTGAATTATAGTGATCGTGGTATGAATGTGTTCCATGAGTAAAAACATGTTCAAGTGCTCAAGATTAGCTAACACTATTGGTGAGGATGTGAAGTAGCTAATGAAGATGAGACAGGCAGATATTCTTGAATTCATAAGATCCAGTTTCTGATCACAATCTAGTCTATTGTCTTGAATCCTGTAACCTGGTGGGCCTAGAAGTACTTTGAACTAAGTGAGACCTGTTTAAACATCTACATTCAATCATTTTTAGCTATAAATTGTTGAAAATGAAACCCTTAAGGGGCTGATCCTAAGATTTCTAAAATCTCATGAAACAAATAATTCAAGTGTGGTCTGAATAATCCTTTGCAGCAGGAGTACAAAGAAGCAATAAGTAATTTCTTACCTTAATGCATTGAGAAGTCCTTCAGAATTTGATGTTGGCTGCTCCTTCAAAACTTTGATGCAGCCCTTGATCTGAACAACAAAGAAAAGAAGAAATTTGTAAGTCACATAATAAATTCTTAAAAGGCCTATTAAATCAAAATCACAAATTTCGTCAACTGCCATAATGCCCTAATCATCAGAACCACATTCCTTAATCAATGGAGCATAAAAGATATAGGTAGCACAGTGTCCATGGACACTGAATTTTGATGCAAGGCACAAACTTTTATATGCATATAGCTCAAAACAAGTGCTTTCCATATTCATGAATCTACCAGAAGATGTGAACCCAATTATTCTTAATTTCATTGATACAGGAAAATGATAATTTAATGATACATCAATAAGATCAGGAATAAGCATATTTGCATCATACAAAGTGAATAAACTCTCTGAGTCATGATGAGCACCACAATGGATAAGAAAATTTTAAATGTTTTTTTCCTCCAAATACTTCTCTTGATGCTTGATACATCAGTGGAACATATGAGAGCCACTTTCTTTTACAAGTAGAAACAAAAAACTGTTTTACTATTTGTCTTTAAATCAATTTATCAATATTTGGAAGTTTTACATCCTCAGCTATATCTACTATAGCAAGCAAATTTCAGAAGAATATGTAAAAGAATGTTGGGCAATTTTGCACAGCACATATGCATCTGTGGAAGGTTGCTTGAGAGATTCAAACCTGAGATGGGTTAAAGAGCTGAAATAGTAATTTTACTCTTCTGTTATTTGTGCAGATGAGTGGTGAAGTTGGTGGAAGTTTGGCACTTAGAGCAGGGGACTCAGGATTGAAACCAACCAAGTCAGGTATTTGTTGGGAGTGTGAATTCTCTGATGAGACATACATACACTCATACATTCATAATTACATTTCCAAGACTGTCCATCCAAACATGATTGAAGCAGGCCCAGAAGCATCCTCCAATGTTGCTGATTCTGGGCAACAGACTCAAGCTCAGCAGGTGGGAAGCCAAGCCTCTTATGACAAAGCTTTACAACATCATTTTTCCACCTCATATTGAGGTCTACCAACTGGCCTTCTGGTGGTTACCTTGGACTGAGAGACTTTCTTTGGGGATCTCCTGTGGTATGCAGCAAACATGTCCAAACCACAAGACTTGAGGTCACTCAATCTGGAGAAGTAACTGTTTGACCTGGAGGTGCCTTTAGATGGCAGTACTCCAGATGTACTCCAGTACTCCTACTGAAGTGTGACACTGCCACTCAACACATGATCCTCATTCTGATAGTTTGTATCTATGATATGATTCTTTCAGTCTTTATCCATTGTTAATGACAATTAGTGAAAACAGGAAGATAAAAAATCTTAAAGACTGAGAGTTTTGTCTCAGAAATGTCCAATTTGGAATAAATTTCACCAAAAAAGTACTCTAACCCCCTCAAAATTAGATAATTGTTCATGACTGTCAGATTTTTGGACTCATCCTGAATATAGAATGGAAACTGCATAGAGGAACTACCTGATGAGTTTCAAGTTTGAGCACCCACCTTAATGGTCTTTAGTTTGGAAGTGAGAAAATGTCATCCACCATTATTAACACATTGGCGACAATGTGTCCTGATGCCAGGATGCAGATTTTTTTTTCAATGAATACCCTCTGGAACTGTTGAGAACGTTCAAGAAGATTATGATTTCGTAATTACTGATAAAAATTCCAAAAAATTCAACATTNCTGGGTATTTTCCAGATGTGATGGATCACTGGAATGTGATTGATCTGATGACAGGCCATGGGGAAAAAGACTGGAGATGTATTATTCTCCTTCATTAACACATTGGCGACAATGCGTCCTGATGGCAGGACACATTTTTTTACAAAAAAAATGCGCGTGGTCCCATGCGGCGGACAAGCAAAAATAGGCTGGTCGTCAACGTGTTAAAAAAACACCATGTTTCAACATCAAATGTAGCATGGATAGGGAGGGTCTTCAAATGATCAAAGTTTTCATCTTGTGTATGAACTTACTCCAACTTACTATAATTTATTTTGCTTTTCCCTCCTATTCCTGTCCTTATTTGAAAAATTGCAAGGCTCTGAGTTGCTATTACGCCATCAAGTATCCTCAAATGAAGACATGAGCATGAGTACACATACAATGCCTGGTATGCAAAAACTTACATCTACACAGGAAGCTTTGGCAAAGGCCCCCACAGGATGAACATGATCATAGAGTATGATCAAGCCAACCATGACTCTCAGCACGAACAACTGTGTCTCACCTCTCTGGAATCTTGCTATCAAGTCTCTGAAAAAGTGCAGCACTCCAACTGTGTAATCTTGAAGAACATGAAATGCCTGTATGATTGTTCTTAAATTTGAGCAGGCAAAAATGTCACCCTTCTAGCAAAACATACAAAGTAGCATTTGGTTGCTAAGAAGAAAGAGAACTCACGGGTCAATCATTCTTTGACAAACTTTGGCCATGGTCCCAAGGGTTTCTGTTGTGTTCTCAATCGGTATTTCTTTATTCTGTGAGGAAATATGTAAAAATGGTCAAATGAAGCTAAGACTTTTGCCTGCTGATGCAACAGTTACAGGATGAAATCCTGTAACTCATATCTTAACGATCATCATAAAAAGTAAGGTTCAAAGACATGGTTGATTGATAGCTATCAAACTCATCCTGTTTGCAGTATCAAACCTTTTCTTTTGGATCCTAGCGATCTGAAGTGAAAATGGAGCATGGAAGCCTTTATGCATCCTCTAAAATTAAGGATTTCGTAGGTTTAACATTTTAAAATCCAACCCAGTCTTTATAGCATTGTTAGTAGATATGAGATCAGATTGTTGTCATCAGATTTTGCTTTGGAGATCACTCAGAAATGTCAAATTTACATTAAAGAATGCCTGGTCACAGCCACCATTTAAGGAATCTTCAATTATACAACAATCATGATGAAATGGGAATGGAAATACTCTACTAGGAATTGAAATACACCTCACATAAGAACGAAATGGGAAATGGAGAATAACCAAGGCATGATTATAATGTCACAAAACTTCTATCTTCTGACTACATATTAGAATATATTGGCAGCCCATTGTGAAATTTGAGATCCACTACTTATTATAGCCTACTCTCTGCACACATCAAATAACAATTAACTTGCCCTAAAATCACCTCACTATATCATATTATAACCAAGGAAAGGATTGCAGGACAAACTCATCCCTAAAAGAAGACAACACTGACCTCTGCAACAAACTTGGTAGTGGCATCACTGAGAACTTTGAGCATAGGTGTGGCATGAGCATAGAAAAGAGACATTCTATTAGCCAACTCATTGCTAATGACATCACTCTCTGCAGGGGTCCCCAATGAACCGTTCATATGTTGACTCCTCACAGTCCTCCGAAAGTATGAAAAGTCATTCTGGATTGAAGGAGTTGTCATCTGGAAGGAGATCCAACAGAACCCTAGTTGTCAAAAGTACAATGAAGTCTGAGCAAAGCCAACAATAAAGTCAAGCATATACTTCATCTGCCATTCAAGTGTCATCAGAGAATGAGCAGGCATACCATTATTGGAGAATTAATAATGTCCCCCACAAAGGTCACATACCTTCAGCTCATCAAACTTGAGGGTGAATTCTAAAATCTCTGCAAATTGTTTTACAAGAGCCTGTTGCATCTCAAGGTGTTGAGTTGGAGTCATGGATCCACTGCACAACTGTCTGAGTATCTTTGGGACTACAGCCTCTGCATTGGTAAGAGAAAAAGGAGGTATCAATAGGATTGTGATACTAGACATTTGAAAGCTTTACACACCACAAAATATGGGTGCACATGACACCATCAAACAATGGCATGCTTCTAAAGAAAATTCAGAACTGTGGGTACAGTAAGGACACAGGCAGTTGGAGTGACAGGAAGGAATGGTCTGGGGTTATATGGACCTGACTGTTGACCACCACATGCTGTTGGCTCATACCATATCAGCCAGGTGGACTATAATGTGCTAGGTAGAGAGTGAGTAAAAACTGCTCAGGCCTGATCTGATAGCACACCCTCATTTTAGAAGTGTAAGGAACAGAAAGAGGAGGTACTCAAGAGCAACAAAGGTACACAGATATTAAGAGAATGGGCTTCTGAGTCATACATATGTGTCTTGTCTATTAATACGTAACAAAGTAATATCATGCTGTATAATCAAACCAGCTGACTGAGCATATGTTACAAAATTGCCTTTCTTAAGAATCATTTTACTAATGCCATGGAACCTCAATGCATGGCCTAAAGCATAGATAAAAGTTGTTTCTGCAGTCAACCACATACAGCGTTTTCAGATTGAATTGATATCCCTTCATATTGCAGAGAACAACGAAAGCATGGGACTTTAATCCACTAGATGTCAACTGTGCTACACTGCACAGTTATCAGATTGTCAGTGGTAGTTGATCTTTAGGGATTAGCAGAGGAGAAAAGACACCTTCATTATCTTGGAAATAAAATGAATGTAGTATATGACCTTGGAAGGAAATTCTCAAGTTCTCAGGATGTCATGCTTCCTTGGTAAAATGATGTCCCATCCTTGAACATCACTCCATGCCATCTAACATTGACTACCCGAAAACAATTGGAACTGGCAGGTCTCTCAGGAGGAAGAGGCTTTAAGAATCATGTATACTTATGACAATAATGATAGCATTTCTGATTATTTACAGGAATTTGTCATACAAAAATATTAAGATGACCACCTGCATCAAATGCTTATTTGTGTTCTGTTTTCAGCATAGGAAGACACTATATCAACAGAGTAAAATTCATTCAATCTGACAGAAAAAGGACCCACTAATACAGACACAAGAAAGATGAGAAAAAAACAGTCAACTGAAGCTGGGAGATTCTCGAGCCTCCAGTGGCTCTGGGTAGTCTCAATTATTTCTCCTTTCCTTGTCCTCTTTGAAAAACCTTAATTTCTTGCTCTCGTTTTCTGTTCCTCATTCATAACCCATGTTCTGCTTTTTTATTAATTGATTTTTCTGTCTGTCTATTGTCAGATACCCAGTTGTCCTCAACAAGAATGACAATTAAAAAAGGGGTGAAGACCTGGATCAGCACTGATCATAAGATGGGGAGATTCAAACTCAAACAACCATGCAGGACTCCCTGAATCATGAATCAGAGACCCACAAAGGATTCTAATACTAAACCTTCCATTTGCAAGGTGTCCTCCCTGCACTCGATGGAAGCACTCCTAAGGGGGGAGGTACCTATTCAATCCAAAAAGAGTGAAAACCAGCAAAGTGTGCCATATTAATTTACCTTTTCAGAAAAAATTTTTTTTTTGATTCCTTCCTGATTCTTTGCAAAGCCAGTGTGTTGAATAAATTTTTATAGCTGGTAAATTTATGTCTTTGTTTCATCTGCACAGCCCTCATACCCTCCTGTGAGGACTTCAGATAATATAGGCAAAATGAATATTACTATATGTACATGGTGTGGAATAATATCAGACCCCCCTTTTTCAGAAAACATTAACATCTGTTGAAAATTTTAGATACCATTAATAAATTATATTTTTTGAGGACATAGAAATGTCAATCAATATTCTGTTTGACCCTCATTTGCTTGATGAACATCATCTTGCCTAGTAGGGTTGGATTCTCGCAAAGTCCCGAAGAGATAACTTTATTCTTAAAGATCTTGCAACATCTTTTCCAAATGGAACAGCAACTTTGCCTGTGAGACTTTACCACTGAGAGGCTCAGAACATTCTGGTCACAGTTCAGTCTTTTGTAGTAGCTTCCAGGTTTTCACATTAAGGTTGTGGGAGTTCCATTGCGAGTCTGCATTTTTTTAAAAGTCAATCTTATTTTTTCTGTAGTAGTTCCTGAGTACCCAGAGCCTTGAAACAAGGTGTTTTGTCATTTAGAACAGGTGACATTGCTTCTGCCAGAATGTTCCATCAGGATAATTAAATAATATTAGTGAGATATAATTAAGTAATAATATATCTCAAGTTCCCATCAGATGCTTTTCATCATTTCTGAATGGGGGAGTCTAACAGTGTGCTCACCCTTCACTTTGTTAGTTCTTAGGCTTAGATTTAAAATATAACTTCATTCACAATGCCCATCTCTCACATGCAACAATGACATGAACAGCATGAAAAAGATCAGGAATTCAAGCAACAAACCAAGTTTCTGGGAGAACTCATAGAATCCCTTGAGTCGTCTTACAAGAGGTAAAACTGCACGCCAGGCCTGCTGTTGAGTTTCCTCTGTGGGATTTGAGATTGCCTGTAAATATCAACCAAATATTATTAGGATTAGTTAAAGAAAGATATGAATGTATGTTAGTCACTACTTTTACAGCCCTCCATGAAGCTTAGAGTCAGGAAGTAGAAACATTGGCCCAAATCGTTTTTTTTTTATTATAAGAAAATGCTTCCACTCACCTCTCTGATTTCTTTTCCAGCTCCCTTGTATTGTTGAAGCTCTTGTATGATATAATCTGAATGCTGGAGGACACTTGCTGTTTCTCTATGAGTAGGAAGTTCCTCCTCAGTCGGTTGAGCATCTGAAAAACAACGGAGTTCCTTGTGATCAGCATGTATTGCTCTATCTGGACATGCAAGTTAGCCATGTTCACAACTTACTCTCAAAATCCAGATACACATCATACTTCTGAGGGGAGCAACAGTTGGATTCATCCCTTGCTAATAATCTTAGTAAGTTACCCATTTGCTGGAGTGTGGAGAGTAAAACTAGAAAAGATCACAGACAGGAAGTACTCAGACTCAGTGTTATGCTATGGGATCACCTCCTCCTTCCATTTGTGGTCCAAGCCTGTTAGCTAACCTGAATGAACAAAGCAAATTGATTCCACTATAATGCCTTCCATAATTGAAACATATGAGATTAGAGCTTAGCACCATCACCTGAATAAAATTTCTCTAGATAATTGTCATTCCCTACAGTCCAACCCCCCCCCCCCCCAAAAAGCACAGCAAATTATGATTGGGATATAGACCTAGTCTATTCAATCTCTTTTATGTGCTGCCTAGCACTTCCCAATCCACTTTCATGGTACTCACTCATGATGCCTATTAATTCACCAGTTATAATGAAAAACCATCCACACCTCATTCAGCTCCTTGAGAACTCACCACCCTTAATTTTTCTCACCTTGACATAATATCAAGACATTAACACACTTCATTGACAGTCAAGGAAATGACTGCTCACATTTAAGCTAGGCAAATGCCAAGTGCTCAGCATATGCAAGAAAAAAAATCCAATTTGTGGACTACATGCTCCTGCCCACTTGAGACATTAAATTCCACATTAAATTGGAATCCTTCAAATAAATTTTTTTACACACTGAAGCCTTGAATATAGCTGTCAGAGATATGAGACCTCATCACTCAGGATTCTTAAAGTCTATCAGGACTCAATATGAACCGCATATAAATATGGACCTTTAGAGACTGGAGGCATCCAAGGGGTTGCAAAAAAGGTATCCATGGGCCACATGCGGCCTGGAGGGTGTGCATCACTGCTTTAGAGCTTTACCTTCTTTTTTTTCTCCATGAAAGGAGGTGTTTGAAGAGAGGGATGGCAGGCATGTAACATAGCCTTGGTGGTTGAGATGTGCCCATAAATGTATCTTACTCCAGCTTAGCAGCTTCGACTGTTACTAACACATATAAGCAATCACTCTGTGATGCCTCATGATCAATTAGCAAGGTCTAATTCTAAACTTAACATTAGGTCTGCATGCCAAATCTCAAGCTCCCAGATCAATTGTCAGTTCTCAGCCTGACTTTTTAGGTAACATTAGGCTGACAACTGAAGGGAATAGCTACTTATCTTTCAGATGGACATTTAACGTTAGAATACATGCTAATAATCCGACCGTACACCTAAGCCTATGCACCAAATAGGATTCACTTCAGCACCAGCAATCCGTTAGGAGCGTTACTCGTTTTTCGTTGCTTTCTGAACGTTACGGCCTGCCATCAAAGCCTCCCTTGTAGGAAATGACCGGTATGAATTCGCAAAGACATTTTACGTTTTTCAGTTGCCTTCTTCCACTCAACGAACTTCTGGATTGAAGGCTTGGCATTGCTAAACAACAATCGCGTCAATCCGAAAATGAACTTTAGTACTAAGTCTAATGCGGACAGAATGACAGCATATGGCGGCAGCCATTGTGAATCAGTGGAACAGATAAAAGTGGCCTAGTAGCGCAAAAATAACCTGGCCAAAAATTAATAGTTTGCTTATCTCTAACGAGTATTTCGTGTGTGCCATCAATGTACAGGATGTCAACCTTAAGCAGCTTTTTAGCATTGCACAAATAAAAGTCTTTCTTCGTCAAAGAACACACATAACCTGGTAGAGAAACAGAATAGTGGAGTGAAGTATACGATGTTGGGTTGTTATTGAGAATCCACTTACATTTGGTCATAACAGTAGAAGGGACAACGGAATGCACTTGATATTGCACAGAGGTTTACGTGTCTCAGTTTCACAATTGCATGCAACATTGCACAACTTAGGTGTGCAACTGTACGGATTATTGCCACTTTGAGGGCAGCATTCTTAGATCTTGTTCAGTCTGTGGAATGCGACCCTTTAGAGGTGTTGCGAGTGGCTACAAGGTGGGCCGGGAAAGACGCCCCATTTTAAATTTAAAAAATAGAGATAATACACACGTTTCTGGAGATGTTTTGCCCCAATCGAATTTGGCGACTGCCAAAACCAATCCTACAGATCACAATCAACCCGCTCCGAATCGAAGTAACACTACGGGACAGATCAGTGAATTTTTCACGTTTTAATATTCCTTTAATTCCTCGTTCTGGATTGCGATGGGTCGCGAAAAATTTTAAAAGTAGGTAAGCGAGTCACGATTCAAGAAAGTTAGGGAATTTCTACCCTAGAAGAGACAACTTCGGCGTGTGGGTGGAAGCTGCACAATCACTAGTGAATTAGCAGCAGTAGTGACTCATTCTTCAGGGAGCGAATTTTGAAACGGTGTTCGCCAGTAACGCAGCATTCGCTACTTTGTGGTCTCCGTGAGAATCCCGAATCTCATGCACCCTCGATCACGGTTTCTGGAGCCCTTAGGCACGACATGTACTTCCTTCCCCTAACCCTTAGGTTCCCCCTGGGTTTCCTAGCCTTCGCTCATGAAAATACTGCACAACTTATACCGAACGGTAAGGTTTTTTGAGCGACAGAAGAGACTGACGAACTGAAGGGGAGCTAGGGAGTCATACTTCGGCCAGAGGACCAACTTCTCCCAGTAACATACTATGTTATTTCCGGCTTCTAGCAACATTGACGTTATTCACATCGCCTGATGTCCTCTCTCATGCGGCGGTGGAGAGGTTCCTAGGCATCTGCCTCGTTCTCTTACTCATTAATATGGTCCCATGCCTATAGTACAGCGTCTAGCAGTGCCTGAGATAAGAAGGGAATATATCATTTATATCATTATGAGCCTCCCATAAGTCATATCGTTTTCTGTCAACATGCGACTTGGGCTGGCGCCTGCTTCGTTTCTCATGAATTTTATAATTACCTGTACTTAAGTAATTAAGTTGCGATTATTTTGAATGATTTTGGAATCTGATTCTAATGCACCCATTCCGGGTGCAGGACGCGGTGAAGTGGAGTGGAAATGGAGGAAAGAAAGAAAGAAACGAGTGTCCAGTTATATGTTTTAGGATTTAGGGTTAGGAAGATAATATCAAGGGGAACCCCAGAAAATGGAATCGGAACTCTGGACGGAAATATGGATCGAAGACAACCCCAGGTTAAATATTTGCGCGTACTTCGGATATTTTAGGATTTTTCATTTCATGGCACCGCTGTAATGAAGCTCAGGCAAGGAAGTAGTTTTATCTGTTCTGTTCCGAATGGGGTCATGTAGATACCGCCATGACCAAGGGCAGGGCCGCCCAGAGGTTTCCAGGGGCCCGGGGCAAAACTAAACCGGAGACCCCTTGGGGGGCCCCTTGAGCCCCTTTGGAGGCCCCCCTTGGGACCCCTTGATACGAGGGGCCCGGGACAGATTGCCCCAATTGCCCCCTCTCCCCCCCCTCTGGGCAGCCCTGACCAAGGGCCATGACAGCCAGATGGTATTGGGGGCCGACGAATGATCAGCGAGCGATCTGGCTGGGAGTGGCGGGCGCGGCGGCTATTACTGAATCAACTGGAAACAAGCGGTTTCAAGAATCCCGGAAGCGGAATGGAATGCATTGGACGTTATTCCTCTGTGTAAATGTGTAAATGAGCATGGTGCGTGGGAGTGCACTCATCACCCGCATGAAAGCGATAATTTTCAGGAGTTTCATAAAGTTTCACTTACTTCTGCAAGAGAGTAGCTAAACAATGCTCAACCATGTGAGAGTCAGTTCGAGACATTTCAAAGAACATGTGAAGAGTTACGCTGGTGAGTTTAATTCACATCCCAGCAAACAGTACAACGCTCGGAATGCGTTGTCAGTGTTTCAGTTAAGAGGTTTCAAAGGGATCTTATACTTTTTGAACTCGTGAGCCATGTGAAACGTACCAATGCTGCATGATGAGAAATCCAATGTGGGACGAGAAAGATACTATCAATAGAATGGTGAGCGGGTGCTTCCAAACTTAATCCGATCAATCAGCTCTCTCTCCCTTTCTCTTTTCTACTCAGCTGTCATAGCGGAGGGCATGGAAGGCACATCCAAGGCAAAATTTAGCCCTTTCTTCAAAGTTCGTATCTGGTTCCCTCTATTCATCATTTATCAGACTCCCCTGTTTTCCCTTCTACACTGTAAAAAAAAAGGTAAATTTCCGCTCGTTAGGCGGAATATTTTCCGGTTAACAAATGAAATGCAAGAATTACATTTGTTATCGGAATATTTTTCCCTGACGAAGCGGAAAGAAGGGTTTTCGCTTTGAAGACGAAGAATTTTCGCACTTCCAGATGAAAATTACAGGTAAGGAGGGGAATCTGTCTAGTCCATTGAATACTTGGAAATTTCGGATGGAATTTTACTCTTAATGTTAAGAAAACTGGTTTTTCGTCTGATGAGGGAACTTGTTCTTTTCACTGACATGGTAAAAGCAACGATTCCCCTCCTTAGTGGAAATTTTCCGTTTAAATGGACAGAAAAAAAGGGGCAAAATATTGCTCACTGGCCCCCTTATCTTTCTTCACGTTCCTCGGCTTCGTACCCACTCCCCCCTCTCCTCCCTCTCCGCCCACCTTTTCCTCCCCCTCCGCCTGTCGACCTGGCTCAATCTGTCATTTTTTTAAATGTCTATATAAATGTCGAGATTTGGAGTCTAAGATAGAGGAAATTCATTTTTCTTCAACTTTGTTTCACTATGGACATACTTGTACACGGAGGGAGAGAAATGGAAATATCAAGAATTTGGTTTTTTTGCCAGAGCTCTGTCTCTGCAATTCTCACGATTTCACATGCAGGGAACAGAATCCGTTATCAATGAATGGACTCCAAATCAATCAAAATTGAATCTTCTCTTCTCGATTGCTCGCCCATACAGCTAAAGATATTTTCTCCTTTGTCATTTATGCCGTAAAGACACTTTTAACGAATCATATTTTGCAACTACGACGGTACGAATGATACATTCAGGCACCTTCACTCCAATACTAAGGAAGTCTTTTATGAAATTAAAAGGTGACTACATCGAAAAATCAAGTGTTATTTTTCCCCTCGGATGTTTCTTTCATATTCAGGTAGATAACTTATTGAGTGGCCCTCGTAAGAGCTCGAGATCTCGGACTCATACATATCTTTTTTTTCCAATGAAGGTGGTAGTGGATATCCTCTAAAGCCTT